CGTGTGCCGCGAAAAGTGTGGTGTGTGAAGAGGAGACGAGAGAGCTGCAGTGACGCATCCTAAAACCCGGAAGTAAGCTGCGCATGGCTTCCCTCGACAAAAAAAGCAATGAGATTTCTCCATAGGATTTTAGAAAATAGCTCCAAATAAGATCTGTGGGAAACGTAGCTGTTAGATAAATGCACGTTTTGTTCAGCCGGATAATATCCACATGTCTACCCTACTTTTATAATTTTCGAATCATAAAGCAATCATTTAGATTTATGATAGACTTTTGAAACTACAAGAAGATAAGGAGGACTTTTACAAAAAAGTAATAGAGATTTTTGTCCAGAAGGATAGGCAAATGGACTTCATCTTCAAGTCAAGGTAAGACTTCAATTGTATTGAAAATGGGATCTTACTAAGAGAGAACAATTCAATATTTAAATGATAAAATTACATTTTTTGGGTATCCTTTTGTTGAACTGTCTGTTTAAAATGAATTGAAGCATCAGACTAAAAAAGCTTTTGAAAATAATATTATATTTTGATTTAGGTCAAAATATAATATTTGTAAACCTGAAGAAGTCAGCGCCAGTGCCATCACCAGCCATGAACCTCACTGCAGAAGCTTATAGACATCTAAGTTGTTTGTGCCCCACCACTTTTGTACATATAAAAACGCCACTGCACATTAGGAATAATTAATAAAGGCATCACATAACTCATTTTAGTCAGAACTACGATTACGTACTGGAGTTTAATTTCAAGTATTAGTTAATACATTCTTTACCAGATTACATGTGGTTTCTAAATTCTAAATTGGAATCCATAACACATAGTATTTTGGCAAAGACTGTAGTGTACATTGGTCTTGTAATTGAGGTATTGTAGTCAACACATTTTATGACATTAATAGTGTTTCATTAACACTAGTGTACATTGATACACTGTTTATTTTTTCATTATTCATATTTTTCTAACTCAAATTCAGATTTTAAAGTTAAAAGCATTACACATAATATTTGTTCATAAACTCTAGTGTACATTGATACACTGTGCATTCTAATCTTTCATAATTAATATACTTTTTAATATTCGTATTTTCAGATTCTCAGATTTTAAAGTTAAAATTCATTACATTATTATTTCATAAACTCTAGTGTGTATAAACACACTGGTGTTTGATGTACTGTATTACATTTAAATATATTCTGGAAAGTTAGAAAAGTTACATTTCAATTAATATGTTTACGTAAAATACATGGCACATCATATTATTTCAAGACTCGAGAATACATTTGATACTCTGTTGTTTGAACTCATGCATTACAATTAACGTGTTTTTTACATTATAAATTCAATTTGATTGCTAACAGTTAAAAGCACCCACATAACATTTTATTTACATTTTCAAATTTATTTGTGAGTTTGCAAATCTTTTCAATGCGTTTGTGGATGTTGTTTTACATTTACAAATCACATATTTACACACAAATCATTTGTATGTTCACACAAATAATTATGACATATCTAAGCTGCCTTTCCTCCTGCAGACAAGAGAGGGCGCTACTATCCTGTGCAAAGAGGACTGGTGCTGCTCTGGGATCAGTTCAGCAGAATGACCCCCTCTGGATTAGCAGGAGAGAGAAGTGGAGTTGTGTTTGGATGGGCTTGTATTCAGGATGAGTACTTTCAACAGGAGTGAGGAATGATGGCTTCAGTCTGGATGAATAACAGAAGAGAGTGTTCGCAGGTTTCAATGAGCCTGAGAAATACACACATGCTTTTTGTAAAGGTGTTAGAGCAAAGGGGCTGCCATGTTTTGATTCAGTGGTTCAGTGCCTTGCTCAAGGACACTTCGGCAGTACACACAATGTCTTTGTTTTACTTGGACTCGAACCAGTGATCATCCAGTTCCTTCAGACTGAATTGAAATGCTTAACTAGTTCTGGTCCATGATTTGGGATTATGAGTTGTATTATCTTCTGTTTACAGATACTACTCCTGTTCTGCAGATACAATATGCAGCTTCATGTTTAACTGAATAATCACAAAACTCCCAACTGAGACACGGATGAAAACTAAGCAAACTCCATGCCAACAGAGCGTTCATGATAAGACGGCTATCTTATCTTATCCCGAAACTACATGTGTTTCTTCCTTAATTGGAAAAATAAATCATATTATAAAAAACCTTATTACATTTTAAATGTTTGGTGTAACAAGTCTTACAGTTTTGTCTAAAATTAAATTAAATATATGCTAAATTGAGAATGAGATATAAAAATATCTGACTAAATGGTTCCGACCATTTGCTGCCAGCGTGTAATACTTGTATGCTTCTGACAACAGCATCATCCCATGTCCTTCCTTCTACTCGTCTAATTGTCCACGCAGGATCAAACAGCACCAACAAATGTAAAAAAGAATGTGTGATGATTATATTTGGTGTCTTTGTTTTAATACACTTCTACTCATGTTAGATGCTGCCAGGCTTCCACAACAAGCATCCCGGCTCCAGTTCGTCAGTCTATAGGTCATGTCTTGTTACAAACACACACATTTGCACACCCATTGCATTACCATGATGAGTGTTGGGTATCAAGGGAGAAGCACGTAAATCATTATGATGCAAATCCATACTTCTGCCCCATTGTGTCCCAGATGGCTCTCACTGAGCCTGATGACTTTCTGTCACTGAGAGGAAACTTTATCAGTCGGATCCTTTCAATTTCAACACATGTTGCTCCGAGGTGAAACAGAAATATTGATTATTCTGAATATAAGTATTCATTTTGCTTGTTGTACTGGATTTCATGCACTTTCTCTTAGGGACTGTATGAAAATGCATCAAGACATCTGGAGCTGTTCTGTCACTCACTGCAGTCTGTCATCACAATACTTGATTCATCCTAGAGGAAATTGGGTTGAGTTGCTCTATGTCGAACCAATAAATAAAATATAAATAATTTAAAAAACCTAGAATAAAAATATGTATATAAACATAAGAATTTAAAGTTAGAATGAGTATTAAAAAATAATTTCAAAAATGTATATTTAGATATTATGATTTATAGTAAAATGTTCAATAAAAGATCAAATAAAATAGAATAAAAAATATATTTAAACATAAGACATTATAGTTACAATAAGCAATACAAAATAAAAATAATAATACAATTAATGTACACAAACAAAATAAGTTAAAGTTAAATGTCCTATAAAAGATCAAATAAAAGATGTATTTAAACATAAGAAGTTTCAGCACCTTGTTGAACATACAGTATATAATGTATATTACAATAAATACACTGGTGTTTTAGTCCTTGGGGTTTAGTTCGCTTGATTTCAGATAAATCAGCTCCAGTGTACAGAAAGAACTCCGGCTCATGAATATTCGACGTTTCATTGTCACTAGGTTAGGTACATGTCACAGAACTCACCATCTCTCAGTGTGAACTGTCTGATTCATGTCCAGACTCGCCCCAGCCCCCTCCTGCTCATGGACCCCTCTGTCAGCTGGGACATGTCCGGGTGGGGCTAATGGGTCAAATGCTCATTAAAGGCTGGTAAAAACTCAAATATCTAATATTAAAATATAAATTGTTATCGAGAATTAAAGAATACAAAAAATTGTGTTAAATCAAATATTGTTGGGTAAGGACATGTTCCAAGGCTTGTTAACTGCATTATTTCAAACATTTTGGATACGGTTTTCTGAATTCTGGAACAAACAACAACGTCTTTAGTTTAGTTTGGCTCTCTGTTTGCTGATCATTTCACTTTTGTAAAAAGCAATAGCATCTCCAGAAACTCTCAACTAAATGTTTTAAATTGATATAACACTATTGAATTATAGGATTCATTTTGCCGTAGAATGATGGACAAGCTGTAGAATACAGTAAGGGTAGGAGCTTCTGCATGATGATGACAAAGAGAGATAAAGTCTCTGAAGACCCTCCCAAAAAAGTTATAGTAACTTTAAAGTAGAATAAACATTCCCAGGAGCATGAGGTCACCTATCGGGAGTCAAAAGTAAATACTCATGAAGCCATACTTGAATTATGCAGTTTCATTGTTTGTTCTCTGTTATTCAGAATTGTTTTGACTTTATTGACACCTTTAGTTTCGCCTACGCTTTGAGGTTCCATTTAAACCTGTAATCATGACAACATGATGCAGATACATTGTTACAAATAAAACAGTGATCAGATGTAACTGAGATTTTGTTTCATTATGACATTCCTTGTTTTTCTAATAAGGTTTGCACACCTACTTCTTCCCTTTGCTGTCAAACAATTCAACAACTGCTCTTTTAAGATTCCAATCATTAGAAAAGGCTGAAAAGATTCCGACCTTGTAAAGAAAAGAAAGAACCAACAGGGAACATAGGATAATACAGACTTTATTTAGATAGCTTTTGTCTTCCATTTCTAATTACAATTAACATAGATTTATTAGCATAAACATAATGACATACAGTATTTTTCAGGCTTTGTACAAAAAATGACAATTAAGACTTTTGGAAAATATTGTTGTGTTTATTTATATACATTTGAATGTGTTTCATTTACAAGGAAAACAATGTGACTTGTTTGGGGCTTGAACAAACAAATTCGACTAACTCACTAACTAACTAACTAACTAACTAACTAACTAACCCATTCCTTAACCCTATAACGTGACATAAGAAAAGGAACAACATGATTGATATTGGCGAATTGATTATTGGAAAAGAGACGTGAGACCTGGTGTAAATTGAGAAGTTCAGTCTGATTCAGTCATGTTGTACCAGGCAGATACACACTTCCCTGCTTTAATACAGCTTTTAATTTTACATTTTTCAATTGTCAGATGTATTAAAATGTAGATGATGTATAGGCTATTAGATAATTTTGGTAAAGAGTGTTTCGGACATTATGGGCATTCCCTCTCTCTCTCTCTTTGCCCCTCCCACGGCTCTGACGTCAGCAGCGGGGGTTCGCTCGTGCTTCTTACAGCGCTGCCTCCATCCCGCTGCCAGTCTTCGTCGGACCAACCTGGGAGCAGTATCAGTCCTGCGGCTTTAAAAACATATCGGGATTATTTGGCGTTAAAACTTGGATACTGTTCGACAATTCGTTTTACTGCAACAACAAGCTCAACAATATTGGAAGTGCTCACAGGTGAGATATATCAGCAGTTTTACAACAAATAACCTACGTGTGTTGACTTATAGCGGAGCTGTGTGTCCTTCCGCTGCGAAGAGACAGAAAATAAAGCTGCCTACTTTTCCCATTGAATTTTAACTATGTTATTCAATCGTTACTTGTTTTTTTGTACTATTACTTATAAAACATGTATGCACACATGTTTTCTATGTATTTTTCCTGGGTTGCTCGTGTTTGAATCTGTCTTAGTTATCGAATTACATACCGGAGCGTGTACAGCCTGGGTATATAACTAGCTGCAGTTAGCATTAGCATTAGTTGAGAATACTTTTTCTTAAAGACCTTTTTATTGGAAACAGACTTGTACAACAACATGACTTTCATAGTTTTATAAGAAAAAGTCGAAAAGGTACAAGAGCATACAGAAGACAATAATAAACATAAACACAATGGACTAATCATTATACCTACAAAGGGCTAGGACTTTTTACATACATCTCTTTTTAAATTGTGCTTAATAGTTTAATTGCATTTCTATTTTTAATTCATTTAATGTTTTAAAAAAAAATGAAGGAACTGATTTGGAAATACATAAAATGTAGGGTTTGCTCTTATACATGTTGATGTATGCATATCAAACATACATAGAATAACTATGATTGACTATAAGGTTGTCTAAAGTGAGCCGTTTTGAGAAAGAATTTGTAAATCACAATTTTTTTGGGAAAAGCCAATCATCCACATCAAGCAATAAAGCCTCAAAATGCATACAAACAGAAACAAGTTTAAACAGTTGTTTCAGGACAACCGCATAATACACATGTTTAGGTTCTAGACCAAATCGCTGTTCAATGATGGATGAACACCGATTTAGATAAGTTGATAATACAAACAGGCTTTGCAGGATTCTCCTCTGCTGGAAGCTGTTTTTCCAGTTGTGTGCAGGAGACGGCTAGAACCAGGAACACACCGCACACACACACCACACACACACACACATTATGGCCCACAATAACTCCTGTCCTGCAAATGGCTCACTATTCATTGTCAGAACAAAAAGATAAGCTGCAATATAAAACTAAAGCTTTAAATGTTTAACCTGTTCCGTTTATACAAAAGGGAGTTAGTTTAATCAGATCAACATTTACAAAATAGTTTTTGTAAACGGTGAACCCAGCAGCATGTTATGATGTTTTAAAAGTTAAAAGTGTAATTGAAGCAGTGGATTTGAGCTGCACTAAAAGTCTGCCAGACTAATTACTGGCAGCCCTTGTTAAAACAACTGTCTGATGTCTCCCCTCCCCCTTGTCTCTCATGTCCTCTGTCCTGCAGCAGCCTTTGAACTGAGGCCAGGAGTGTGCCCTGCTCTCCAGCCAAACGACTCCTCCTTCTCTCTCCCGTCTCCTCCAAAGTGACACACTTTTTTTTGTTGCTGTCAAGGACACTGATTGCACGTGAATCTCAGGGAGACAGTGGGAGTTCATCTGACTCTCAAGTCCTATAAATCTCAGGAAGGAATATCTCCCTTTACAGGAGCTAAACATGGGGAACCAGTTAACAGAAATCGCCCCCAACCCCCCGTTCCTCCCCAGCTTCCAGTCTTTACACATTGTGGTGATTGGTCTGGACTCTGCAGGGAAAACCGCCCTCCTCTACAGACTCAAGCTGCGGGAGTTTGTGGAGACGATCCCCACCAAAGGCTTCAACATGGAGCGGATTAAAGTGTCCATGGGGAACTCCAAAAGCAACAGCACCACGTTACAGGTGTGGGACGTGGGCGGCCAGGACAAACTGCGGCCCCTCTGGAAGTCCTACACCAGGAGGACAGACGGGCTGGTGTTCGTGGTGGATTCTGCCGAGTCGGAGCGCATGGAGGAGGCCAAAGTGGAGCTGCACAGGATCGCCCGGTCCGCAGAGAACCAGGGGGTGCCGCTGCTGGTTCTGGCAAACAAACAGGACCTGGATGGAGCCGCTTCAGCTGCAGAGGTAATTATTGTTGCGTGAGTGGCTTGGTGTTGTTGTATAGAGCTGAATTATTGCTCATTTAATAAGTGGGTTAACATTCAAATATATATAGATTCATTTAGCCAATTAGTTCAATGAAGTATCGACCTACAATTCCAAGCATACTCCGGTTTTCCAATGCAAGGGTTGACTGCATGCCGTGTAGGGATGTCCCGATCACCTTGTTTTGCTCCCGATCCGATTCCGATCATTTGATTTTGACAATCTGCCGATACCGATTTTTCCCGATCCGATCTTTATGCATTAAGAGAGAAAACAGGTAACAGATAACGGCTGGCCATCCAACGCGATGAGTTCAGCTCTCTTGGCTGATATTGTTTTGGCCTTTTCACTGTTCTGGGGCCGTTTCTCTTTCCTTTTGAAAGTGTCGGTTGTGTCAGTGCCGTTCCCTGAGTGGCCGCTGTGTACTCGTCTTGTTGGTGTTGGTTTCTCAGGTAGCGTATTAGATTGGTCGTGTTGAACGCAGCTCTGTTCTTTCCACCACGTGGAACCTCCTTCTTGCAAACATTGCATCTGGCTGTTACACTGCCTTCGCTTTACATTTTATAATACTTCCAAACTCCTGACATTTTCTCTGTCCCGAGTCCCGAGTCACCAGCTGAACGTAGCCTCTCGTTAGCTTACTGCTACTATTAGACACTGCGCCCACTCTGTTGCCAGCTTTGAGAGGAATAAGCACAGGACTGAAAACAAGCCCAAAAGAAGCAACACATACATGATGTTGTGTCATTTTAAACCAAAACTAAGGCCTCAGGATGACTTTAAGACGTGAACATGGTCATTTTTGTTTTGTAACATTAAATAAAAAATAATAAAAATATTTTATAAATAAAAAAAATCCCGATCCCCGATTTTTTTTCTCCCGATTCCGATCTTTTGAAAATCACGTGATCGGCTCCGATCCCCGATCACGTGATCGGATCGGGACATCTCTAATGCCGTGTATCCGTATCTTCGTAGGGTGAACAAAACGAGACATTTGAAGAGGTTTAACAGGCTCTGTTAAATGATGAGGTGCACTTTTACTATGTTGTGGTGTTTTGTAGAAGAAGTATTACTTTAGTATTTGATTTGCAGCTCCAGCCAAAGTGAGTGATAGTATCTCAACAACAGTAATGAATGAAGATTAGAAACTATGGCCAGAGATACGTTCTCAGATAGACTGCATGTGTGTTATTTTACTTACCAGTACTAGCAGCACAGATGGTAAATGGCAAACAATACGACAAACATCATACAGTAGAACAGGGTTTCCCAGGAACAAAATAATTGTAAAACACTGTACCAGTTTTTAAAACTGACTCAAGGGCAGCAACTATTTATTTTCCATAGTTGATTAAAATGCCTAGAAAATGCAAAAAGAAGTCCCTCACAGTTGACTCGTTCAGATGGCTTGTGTCTGTTCATCAGCCTTCAGAAAACCCAAATGTGTACTAAATGTGTTTAAGTCCATAATTGAAGATATTACTAAACCTGTTGTGTTCCTGTTCCTGTCATTACGTTACTGTCAGCAGTTTTGTTCTGCAGGGATCCGTGGCTTGAAAGTGATCAGATTTGGTAGAATGTGTGTGACTGACACATCCTGTCCCCTGTTTCAGGTGGAGAAGGTTCTGGCTCTCCATGAGCTCAGCTCGTCCACCCTGCTCCACACTCAGGGCTGCTCTGCGCTGGACGGCCAGGGCCTGCAGCCCGGCCTGGAGAAGCTGTACGAGATGATCCTGAAGAGGAAGAAGATGCTCCGAAACAGCAAGAAGAAGAGATGAGGCGGAGGCTCCATAGACGTTACTTTTTGAACCGCTACCTGTCTGAGGGCCTTCTCAGCAGACCCATCTGACACTTTTGGAACTTAAGCAAGTGAAACCAGAGGGATGTCTCCAACCAAGATCAAGGTTCTCCAGTCTGTTCCAAACACCTTCCTTCACTCTGGACAGTGGACAGAGCTGCTTCCTTTGGGACAGGGTCTGCTCCTTAGCACTCCCCCCTCTCCCCTCTCCCACCCTTAAAGGGGCACGGTATAGAGCTTCAGCTCCAGAGGGGGCTCAGAGGAAAACGTGCAATGTATATGAACTGATGCACTCACTGCAAAATTGAATAATATTTGAACCCCTGCTTGTATAAACAGTAGAGGCAACAGAAAGCTGCAGGCCTGGTCTGATCAGAGCTCCTGTCAACTTTCAATGTCACACTTTACTACAAATCCCTATGTTGCATGACGTTCACCCAAATATCTGCTTGGGAATATTTAGACAACGCTTTTGTTGATCAAAAGAAGACTATTTAGTTTAGTAACCGCCCTGTTATATAAATGTCATTGGGACTGTAGTTGACATGTGCCACCAGCGTGACGTTTACAGCCTGCAGACGCGCAAGTTCACAGTGTTTCTCACTCCTCACCAAAGTTATTTCTGCCTGTCACAGTTCGGTGTATTTCAGGGTTGGCTGAATGGTTGGTTGGTAAATTCAAACAAGACATAGTTTTTATATTGTGTACGTTTTGTAAAGTGTCAACATGAATAAATTATTGAGTAACTTTGGCATTATTTGCTGGAAATGTGTCTTTTTTTTAAGGACAGCTAATCAGACGGGATAATGTCACTGACCTTAATAATGACGGCCTTAATATCCACAGACTTGTCAGAACATGCCTTCAGGCGTGAGCTGCTGCTGTTCTTTGGAAACTATCAGTGACTCATGCCCACAGGTTGTTACACATTACATATACAGCTGGAAGAGGGAGTGGACAACACAAGTGAAACATCACCTGTGTAATGTGAAGAAATCCACTGGCAACGAAATTCAGTGAAACTGTGTGTAAGGTGTTGAATCAACCCTACAGTAAATTGTGGTTTGTATGTCTTGGAATTTGACATTTAAAGGGGACCTATCATGCAAAATGCACTTTTTGATGTCTTTTATACATAAATATGTGTCCCCGGTGTGTCAGGGAACTGACGCAGTGGCAGAAAATAAAACCCTCTCTCTTTTCCTCCGTGCACAAATCTCTAAAAATGGGGGAACAACGGAGCTGATCCAGATTTGCCCACGTGGGTGGACCAAGCGGCAAACTCTGGGGAATAGCCGGGACGCCAATACGGAAGTGCCACACACTGCAGTTCATATATTGGCCGAAAGGCGATGACTGCAGAAATGAGCAATTTCCATAGACCCCCATGTTAAAATGCCCAATTTGCCCAATACAGCAGAAAAAACATGTTTCTACCCATGGATGTGTAACCCAAATGTCCCGTAGCCTCTCTGAACACCCTGGGACTCTGCGTTGTGTTTGTTATTGGTGATGGGATGTTATGCAGAGGGGTGGAAAACAGGACACAGTAGATCGGATTGCGGTGGAGACACTGAGTAGTGATTTATTCTTCACAATGGCAGCTCTTCTGACACACCTTTTGCGGAGTGAATACAAACATTAGCCCATTAGCTACATGCTAACCAATACAATAACCAAATGAACAGACAAAACATAAACATCTCATTCCCAAACATACACAAACGGGTAAATAAACATTTAAACTAACCCATTAATTAAATAAATGGAATGTTTGGACGTTTTAACATAATGTGTACAATTATTTGCCGCCATTAACACTGCTCACCTTTTGCGGAGTGAATACAAACATTAGCGCTAAGATGGCGGCCGCACCCAGAACAACAAGAGAAATACGGTGTCCCACAATGGACAAAAAACAACAATTTTCTAGGCAACAGCAACACCTAGTGGCCTGTCAAGGCTGTTACCTTACAGATGCAATAAATATTATTATGGATATAGTTAGATTCCACCTTCATGATTATGGATCTGTGAGTGAATTGTGTTCTAGCGCGACCCTTTTATTTTTATTAGGTCTTAAAGTGTTTGCATACATTAGGGCGTGGTCACATTGAGTGACGGCTTTGTCAAGTGCCTGCCGCTGTTTGCTTCTCGTCTCTCTGCTAGCTGCTCCGTGAAGCTAGCTACAGGGACTCTGCCTGCTCAGCTCATCCAGGGAACACAACTTGACCCCGGCCGTGGTTGTTTGTTCTTCATGCTTATATATCGGACTATTGTGACTCGCTCTGCGGTTAAAACAGACGGTGCATTACATTACATTGCATTTAGCTGACGCTTTTATCCAAAGCCACTTACAATAAGTACATTCGACCAGGAAGACACAACCTTGAAGAAAACAGAATCATATAAGTACATCAGGTTTCATAGAGCCAAACATTTCAAGTGCTACTCAACTGGCTTTAGATAAGCCAGTCCTTTATTAGTATAAAAGTGCTTCGTTAATAGTTCTAACGCTCGAAGTGGAGTCGAAAGAGATGAGTTTTCAGTTTGCGCCGGAAGATGTGCAAGCTATCTTCCGTCCTGATGTCAATGGGGAGCTCATTCCACCATCTTGAAGCCAGGACAGCAAACCCACGTGTTTTCGCCGATGGGAACTTGGGTCCCCCTCGCAGCGAGGGCGCAACGAGTCGTTTGGCTGATGCAGAGCGTAGTGCACGCGCTGGGGTGTACGGTTTAACCATGTCCTGGATGTAGGAAGGGCCAGATCCATTCGCAGCATGGTAAGCAAGTACCAGTGTCTTGAAGTGGATTCTGGGAGGGGATCTAAAGTAATGCTTTAAAATTCAGATTAGATTAATGTCTACCATTTTCTTAAATTCATGGTAGTTTCAGTAATCCCATGGTAATTGAGGACAGAAGTTATCTAAATGACTAATGTCATCTTTATGGCTTTCAGAAAGGACAGGAGACCGACAGGTGACTATCAAAGGACTAGCAGCAGCAGCAGCAGCAGCATGATGATGATGATGTTAAATGTGTTGTTTTAGGAACATCCATTGCAAATACATGGAATTCAATAAACATTGAATAGCATATCATGCAGTTTGTCTGTGCCTTTTCCTCCGTGTTGTCCTGGTTTGCTGTGCTGCCTCCTAGTCGCCACCATGGTTTGCTGTGCTGCCTCCTAGTCGCCACCATGGTTTGCTGTGCTGCCTGGGGATGCTCAAATCGCTCCGAGAAAGGAGTACGAATGTACGGCTTCCCCACTGACACAGAGCGGAGGAAAAAATGGCTGGCTCAAGTCAGCAGGAGCAATTTCACGACCAACAGCAAACAAATATGTGAGGTAATTATATACAAACACTGCATTTGCACTTTTTCACAAAACGAAAACCACACCATTGGGAAAGCTTAATGTTTTGTTTAATACAAAAAAACAGGGAAAGGCTTGAAAAACACAGAGTTGAGACTCAGGGTGCAGGGTGAGGGTCTCAGTGCAGGTATTCAGGCTCCATTGAATCCCCCTCTGGTTCTTGTGCTGAAAGAGGGATAAACAGACAGGAGAAAGGGTTATACACACCTATATAGCACACCTATTGGATGGGAAATTGCCTTGGGGAGATAAGGTGTGGTCTTTGTTCCCAACTGAAGTTATGGAACTTTATTATTTGTGAGTTTAACAAAGTATGACAAATGGCATCACTAACAGATGTGATATGAATTTCTATAAAGTTGTCTCACATTCTTGGTCATATTGTATATACAGTATGTAAGTGGAGTGAATCCTGGCCACCCCAAACACCCTCACCACGGGCGCCCAAACAATTTTAGAACATTAAGAAAAAAATGTTTAAGTAACCTTTCATCATTCATCAAGAATTAACATTAATAGGACGTTATATTGATAATGTACTCACTAAACTTACAATTAATTTAACTTATTTTCTTCCAAAAGTTAATTACCCAAAGCCTCTGTACACACCCTTCTATTTACATGTGATGGTTTGGTCCTGCCTTCAAACGCGGTGCAGCACCGCCGGCACTTCTAGCAGAGTGAGAGCATGTTAGGAGCAGGGATGCTAGTACTTACGTGTGAAACATGTCTCAACGACTCACAAAGTCAGGCTTTCAAAAGAGAAAAGAAAGGAGAGAAAGAGAGAGGAACTAAAGGGCGACAATATGTCACCCAGTTTTTCAAAGAAAAGGTGGGTGTGGAAATTAGTCTGTTAGCTAAGCTTAGTCCATTGTAAATAATAATTGTTATGTTTTTTTTTTTACTAAGCTGACATTAAGTAGGCTACTGTTAATATCTATACAGGTTTTTAATTTCATTCCTCTTTTAGCTGACATTTAGTAAATGCAGGTACATTTTTAGCAGCTATTCATACTAAATCAGTTGTCCCTCCCCCTGGTGCCACTTAGCAGCCCTGTCCCCCCATAAGTGTTATATTTTCACAGCTCAGTGTCAGTAAATATTGTGCAGTTAGTATTGGACTACAAGATAGATGCTGGGATAGATAGGGCTGCACCAATCATCGAAATGTTATCAAAACTGCAGTATGGCCTACAATAGTGAACTGCATTTTTTTTTAAAGACTACATATGTGGTAAAATACCATTTTGACTGAAGAATTTTGGAGCTGCAGAGATACCCCCGCCTATAATGCATTTCTGTTTCACTGTAAGTCCATATAATTGCAATGTTCCAAAACATGTAGCCCTAGGTGAGGTCTAAGAAAAGTAGTTAAGGGGTTTGGCTTTATTTGTCCAGTCCTTGCCTTTTTAAATATAGATTAAATAAAAGATTTAGATTACAGATGACTGGCAACAGGAGTTTGTTCTGGTAGGAGGAGTTGTGGATCAAACAGGTTTGACGTCGGGAGAGGCTCCAAGTTGTACTGATACCGGAGCATGGACTACTTTTGATGTTGGAATCAATAGTATGTTGCCATGAAATAAGCGGGATAGGGTTAGCAAAGTGTGTATCAATCAATCAATCAATTTATTTATATAGCCCAATATCACAAATGTTACATTTGTCTCAGTGGTCTTCACTGTACAGAATATCAGTATGACAATACGACACCCTCTGTCCTTACACCCTCACATCGTACAAGGAAAAACTTCTGGAGAAAACCCACAGTTTAAAGGGAACATGGGAGAAACCTCAGGGAGAGCAACAGAGGAGGGATCCCTCTCCCAGGACGGACAGACGTGCAATAGATGCCGTGTGTACATTGAAAAGATAATACATTTGCAACATAGGTAGTCCAAATGTTTGGAAATGCATGTGTGTATAATAGGAAGATGAATCCACGAGGATATCCATCCAGGACTTATGATCCAGGACCACAGCCACGACTCAAGATCCAGGGCTCGCGATCCAGGACACAGGACCGCAGGATCATCCATGACTCCGGATCCCGGCGTATATAGACACCAAAAATAAAGAAATTTGGGGAAGCTGGGTTAATCGGAACATGAGAGTACACAGGTATATACAGAGAGAAGGAAGAAGTAAGATGTCCCCCGACAAACTAAGCCTATAGCAGCAAAACTAGGCTGAATCTAATCAGCCCTAACTATAAGCTTTATCAAAAAGGAAGGTCTTAAGCGCACTCTTAAAAACGGATAGGGTGTCTGCCGCCCGAACACAAACTGGAAGCTGATTCCACAAATGTGGAGCTTGATAAGAAAAGGCTCTGGCTCCCATTGTACTTGTATTCAGTGTACTATTTGTACAGCATGTCTACA